GAAGCTGTGCCTGATGATCCTGAAGTCTATACTGTGCTGGACGATGCCACATTCTGCCGGAGTCCTATGCCTGCAGCTGAGAAGTGATGTCTCCGAAGACATGTGTATTCTTCATCTCACCGGTCGGCTTCACCAGGCTTTCATTTGGCCTCAAAGTCTGTTGTGGAGACGTCTAGGAACTCAGAAATCACCAGTTCTTGGAAATCTTCTGAAATATTTTGTTCAGATGAGAGAAGGGATGAGATGAGATAGATGGTCCTCGACGATGGTCTTGCTCTTCCGTTCCATTCCGGGTCGAAAATTCCAGTTATTCGTCAAAGAAGTTCTTGTGTACACAGTCCAAATTCAACTGAATGTCCAGGCAATGTCACCAAAATGATGGTGGCGTCATCAGAGTGTTTCTTGGGGAACTCTTGCTTGCTGCTTCCTTTCCTCCACAGTCTGGCTAAATAAAGAGTCACTCTGGGAGATGGAACCATGTCACAACAGTATAGCTAACAGATCAAGTCCTCCGGAGCCCCCAGTATATAGGCTGCACAGTTAGTTGTTCCAGAATGGCATTCAAGGCTCTTTCCTCCAAGTGGTTGCATTCTTTGTCATAGACTAAAGCCCTCCATGATGCTCTTATAGTTTCTGTTAAATAAGTCACTATTTTTGTTTCTTATTTCTTCAGTTTTCATCTATCAAGCTCAGTGGACAGTATGGAGTTAACCATGTCCCAAGAGGGCAAAAGATGCTACCAAGAAGCACAGAGCAAGCCTTCACCTCCAAACATAGCCTCATCTGGTATGTCAGTGTCCATGCCTCCAGTTATTTGGGGAGTCTCCTTTGTGGCTTCTTCAGTCTTAATAGTTATCACAATGGTCTTGACCTGTCCCCAGCCTCAAATTCAGTGAAGTTCTTCTATTGCCAGCCCCGAGGTCGCAGCTTGACACCAGGCTTGTGAGTGGGCGTTTAGCACCCTTGCACTGGGAGAGGAGCTAAGCCGCAGAAACTAGGTTGGGTTACGTTCCAGCCAACTTGACATTCCTGTGGGGTCAAGGCTGGTTGTGGTGTATGTCCAGCCATGAACCCAACACAACTAAAAAGCATAAAATTGTCCTTTGCTGTTAGAATTACATACTGTTGGGCAGGTATCATTGAAAGATCCTCCATGGATCTGCAATCCGTGACATCAGATGTCATGTTCTTACAACACTTGGTACCACTACCAGGAGTCTCTTTTCCACATTTCTTCTGAAAACTTGGAACTCTCTGTATCTCTCTCTCTTTCTCTCTGTCATGTTAGAGTCATTGAATGCCATGGGCCACAGAAAAGCACTGCCATCTGCCCCCTCCAGTCTCAGGTCAAGCTTTGGATATACTCAGTCCTGTCCCAGGAAAGCCCGTAGTCTCTAAGTTTTTCCTCAATTCCAGATATCTGAGTTATCTGTCAAAAATTAGAGTTTGGCTTTTAGCTCTAGAACACCAAAGAGGTCCCTTCTTCTGGACAGATCATTCAAAGTAGAACATTGTAAAGATCTCTCTTTCCGAGCACTTGAACTTCATCAGAGGCTAAAAATGGGAACTTCACTCTTGAAGAACATCAGTCTCTCTTGTTGAACCTATCTGAGCATCACCAGACCTCTATCTTTAGGATGATATTGAAATAAAATTCTAGATCTAGAAAACGAAGCAAAGTCTCTATTTCTAGACATCTGAGCTTTACTGAAAATGGACTGGATTCTTGGCATTAGCACATGAAAAAAAATCCATTTTCTGGACCTCTAATCATCACTGGAGATTAAATATGCAGACTTGTAGAACACTAAAGAGGTCTCTTTCCAGGTGTCTAAGTTTCAGCACCTGGAACTGGGATTCTAGCTCGAATGTTAAGGAGGACCCTCTTTCTACACTTCTGTGCTTCTGGCATCTGTGCTTCATCAACAAATAAAAGTACAGTCTTCGTTCTAGAACATCATAAAAGTCCCTCTTTCTGGATAATTGGACACCAAAGATTAAGAGGTAGAGCCAGGCTTCTGAACAGAGTAGAGATCCCCTTTCTGGACATCTGGACATCAAAGGGTGGAGATGGAGTCCTGGTTCTAATATATTGTGGATGTTCTTCTTTATGGACATCTGAACATCACCAATGTCTAGAGATAGTCCTGGTTCTAGAACATCATTGACAATGCTCTTTTCTGGACACCGAAGCTTCACTGGAGACACAGAGGCATAAAAGGCTGAAAGTAAAGTCTTTGTTGTTCTAGAAATCATGGAAGACCCTCTTTCTGGACATCTGGACATCACCAAAGGCTAGAGGTGGAGTCCTGGTTCTAGAACATCATGGAGGACCCCCCCTTTATGAATATTTGAGCTTTACCAAAGGCTAGAGGTAGAGTCTTAGGCCCAGAACATCAGAGAGGTCTCTTTTTCTAGACATCTGAGCTTCATCAAAGGCTGGGGGGAGGATCCTGGGCCTGGAACATCAGAGAGGTCCCTCTTTCTGGACATTTGAGCTTTATCAAAGGCTGGAGGGAGGGTCCTAGGTCTGGAACACTGGAACATCAGAGAGGTTCCTCTTTCTGGAGATTTGAGCTTCACCAAAGCTGGAGGGAGGGTCTTAGGCCTGGAACATCAGAGAGGTCTCTCTTTCTGAACATCTGAGCTTCATCAAAGGCTGGGGGGGGGGGGGTCCTGGGCCTGGAACATCAGAGAGGTCCCTCTTTCTCAACATTTGAGCTTCATCAAAGGCTGGAGGGAGGGTCCTAGGTCTGGAACATCAGAGTGGTCCCTCTTTCTGGACATCTGAGGCTAGAGGTGCAGTTCTCAAGGGCTTTTGTGAACATCTGAGCATCAATAAGACTGGAACCAGAGTTTTAGCTCAAGAGTGACAAAAGAGTCAGTCTTTCTGGATATCTACAGTTCGTCAGAGGAGAGAGATGGAGTCTTAATTCTAGAAAGTCAAAGAGGTCCCTCTTTTTACACATTTAAACTTCACTGGAGACAAACAAGACAGAGTCCTAGATCAAGCTATCAAGGTGGTCACTTTTTCTGAGCTTCTTCAAAAATCATCATTGAGTTAAGGCTTTCTATTGTCAATTTCTCTGGGACATTTGGGCTTTATGAGAGACTGGAAGTGGATCCCTGGCTCTAGAAAACTGAACAGTTTCCAGATGTTTATGCTTCTCTGGTGACTGGTTTAGACTATGGAAGACTTTCTTTAGACATCTGAGTTCTCTTAGAGGCTATAGCTGGAACTTGGCACTACGATTTCAAAGAACTGCCTCTTTCTGAGCTTCTGGGCTTTGACTGAACGTAAGAGCTAGAATCAGAGTCTCATCTCTAGAACATCAAGAAAGTCCCTCCTTCTTGGCCCCTAAGGTCCAGCAGAGGCTGAAGCTGGGCTCTGTGCTGACATACCAAAAGAAGAATTTATTCTGGATGTCCAAAGTCTGTCAGAGACTGGAGTTGATGTCCTGGTCCAAGGACATGAGCAGACTCCTTAAGCTGGGTATCTTAACTTCATCAGAGGCTGGGCTTGGGACTCAGGGCTGGACTATAAACACAGGACTCCATTTAGAGACACTGACAACACATGAGGCTTGTTTGAAAGCTGGAGGTGATGTATGTTCTCAAAAATATCAAGAAAGTCTTTGTTCTGGACGTTTGGGCTCCATCAGAAGCTGATGTGGAGGCCTTTACAGTAAAGCAGCAATAAAGCATTCACTCTGGAAGCCTGAGTTTCATAGGAAGGCTCTGCTTTCTACAGAAAGGGTTTTGTTGGACTCTTGGACTCTCTTGACTGTGCACAACTTCTGGAGGCATGTCTTCTTCCTGTTGTCTACACTGCGACTCATCAATCACACATGCCAGAGTCCCCACCATGGCTAGTATTGGCTCTTCCAGGCTGGGTCATGTCTGGTTCTTCAAGATGGTGCTTTCAACAGAGGTCGGTCCTGTGAACTTGCAGTTGCCTTTGCCTGGTGCTTCTCTGTGAGAATGAGGAGGTGGGGAAAGGAGGGAAGACAAAAAGGGGGAGAGAGAGAAGAGGAGAAAAAAAAGAGGGGAGAGAAGAAAGGGGAAGACGAAGAATCAAAAGAAAAAGATGTATAGGGAACAGGCAGAGGAAGAAGAGAAGCTGAAAGAGGAAGGAGAGGAAGAAAACAGATGAAAAGAGGGGAGAGGGAGGAGGGAGAGAAGGGAAGGTAGGGGTAATGGTGGCAGCAGCAAAGGCAGAAGTGATCTTAGTAGATGCTGGTCGTTGTGTAGCAACTGTGGTCGTGGTAGCCAAGTGGCAGCTGTGATGGTTATCATCTTCTTCTTTGCTGGGATGATGTTCATGTCACCTTCTCTAGAAGAGCCAGGATCTACCAAAACTCAGCTCTATTTCCCCTTCCCCCTTGCTCCCAACTCCCTCCTCTCAGCTGCTCAGGCAGCCTGACTATCCCCCCAAACCCCCTCAGAAGTCATGAGGGTAGGGCTCACCTCCCCAAGCTCAACCAGCATACCTGATGCCGGGCATCATGAGTGTCTGAGCAGTCACTCAGACCCACTCAGGAACCACTTTTGTAGAAGCTGTGTTGGCCCCAAGTCCAACTGGGACCAACTCATCTGGGTCATGATGACTTCTCAGCTAGGGCCCTGGCGTAGCCCCCGGGGAATGTGGAGGGCAAGGGGGGTGCACAGAACTCAGCCCCGGAGCAACATTTTCTCTGGAGCTCCAAGGACCGGAGCTGTGAGCCCCTCAGGCTCCAAAGCCAGACCTCCCACAGCTCTTGCGTAGATTCATTTCCAGAAGGAAACGGACATCTTGAGCACGCGCGAGAAGAGGGTTCTTCTAAACCCACCCGCACAGGCCCTTCATCAGACCCCAGTCCATCATCTCTTAAGCACACACAGGGTAGCACAAAGGTGACTTTACGGGATTTGAGGCAACTCCTCTGCCCCACTACACTACAAAAGGAAGCCCCAGCAAGACACCCACCCACCCCCTGTATTAGTAGCACACCCATTACTGCTTTAGTTAAGACAAGAAACATTTATTGAAAGCACCATGAGCCACCAGGCCCCATGCTTCTAAGCACACCACAGCTGCCTCACAACAGCCCTGTGAGGTAGGAACCTGAGCCCATTTCACAGATGTGGACTCAACAGTGAAGACACAACAGCCTCCCCCAAGTCAAGTCTCAGGGTCCATGGACAGGGATCAAGGCCACATGCCTGACCCTCGGGTCAGCACAGTTCATCAGTCAGTAGATGGGTCTCTCTACTCAAGGGGAGGCCAGGGTCCAGAGTCTTGGGTCCAGCATGTCCCACAGGAAATGTGCAAGACGTCCCCGTGGCTGTGGAAGCTGAGAGAGACACAGCTGCAGATGAAGACCATCTGCTCCCCATCCCGGAGGCTTATAAGAGTTCTCATGCACCAGGCAGGGTAGGGACTAGAGGGAACAACCCATCCCTGTGCTTAAAAAGCCCGAGCTACATAGAAGGCTCAAACTTCTGGGCAGCCATGGGGGTGGGGCAACACCTACCCACCAGCTCCTGCTATTCTAATCTATTCTAGAATTTTGCATATTTCTCACACCATCCCCAAGAACTCTATAGCCAATTCTCAGTCTATTAAACCTTGGTGGTTTTCTGAAGACTTTGGCCTAGCCCTCCTGAAAGGGTCTTCTAAATATTCTCCCTAGGCTTATACCTCGCACCTCAATGTCTCCCCAACAAAACTGTTAAATCTTAACATTTAAAAGCAAACCTCTTCCCTCTATCTCTGTCCCTCCAGAGCCGGGTAGGTGCTACCCTCCTGCCCTCCATTCTGGCTAAGTCCCACATGGACCTGAAGTTTCAGAAACCAGGGTACACCTGTACCCAGGGCCCATGGCCACCTCCACAACAGCCAGTATGGTTCAGCAGACATGAGCACCTGCATACCAAGCAACAAAACACTCATTTTCACACACAAAAAAATCTCACTGAGTCCCCCAATCAAACCAGGTTTGTTTAACTATTTCTAGGATATGGCTGACAGCCAAGGCCACACCATCAGCAAGGGGCTAGGATGGACCAAAACCCAGACCTTGATTCTCATGAGCTACCATATGATAGGCAGTCATCAGTGACACCCTTTGGTGCGGGAAGAGAAACTGAGGCTAGGGGTGGTTCAGGTAAGCTGTTCAAGGTTCAGTTGGAAGAAAACAAAGAAATAAACAAAAACAAAAACAGGTCTGATGCCCAAATGGGCAAGACCTTGGAACCCCTCCCCCACCCATGTGCCCATGGAACACTCTATAGAAAATAAGAAAACAAGGTCTGGGGTCCAATCTCCTCTATCCCCAGTCTGCCGGGTGCTCAAGGCTGTACCCCAAACTTCAAAAGTAACTTATAAGTCAATGCTGATTGTCACCAGTGGTGGGGACAAAGTCTGTTGGGTGAAATAGAGGGGGGACCTCAGAAATCATATGGGCACAGCCAAGTCCTCCTTAGAATCTGGGAAATACTAAACAACTCCTTTTCAGGATCATCCAGGCCAAAATATCAATGAGGACATTTTAGCCCTCAGAAAGTTTTATTCTAGACATAAATATCTCCAAAACTATGTTTCTACCAGGAAGGGCCCTCCTGTAGCTAACTAGGTCTCTACTAGGGAAAAATCCTCAGGGTTTCTGTAGACTTTGTGGGGGAGACCCCTCCCTTCCAGAAAGACCACAAAGTCATTCATTCACGCATCCACATCAACTTAACCTTCCCTTCATGGAGCAAGTATTAGGCACCCACTAATACAAGAGGCAGGGCGACACTGAGTGGGAACATGTCAAGAGCTTGCAGTTTAATCACAGCTTAGCCAAAATTGAAGAGATCCCTATTTGCCAGGCCCTTGGCTTCCCTTTTGTTACTTCCAAGGGACACAAGCTACCTAACAGTCACCCATAAACCTAGCCTGCAAGAGGCCAAAGGCCCATCCGAAACCAGGCACCTAGACAGAGTCAAAATTACATGAGCAAAGGGTCCTATCCACATATGCCTGCCACGAGACCCCAGAGCACAAAAGCAAACCTTTCAATAAGCTGTCAAAGACAAGCAGCCACACAGCAGGCCCTGAACACAGCCTGAGGGAGGCAGAAGCAGGATTTTGGTAATGGGGTGTGATAAGGCAAAGACATGACTACGGAGGCTCCTGAACCTGAGGGCACAGTGACAACACCAAGGGCTTAAGGGCATCTAGGACTGAGACACCAGGGCTTTGAAAACCAGAGGCAACACAGGAAACTGAGAGGGGTGGGGCTTCTGTGGGGTGGGCGGGGCTTCTGTGGAGTGGGCATGGAGGGAGAATGGGAAAGTAAGAAGGTTACTCTCCCAGATCCACAGGACTGGGACATGGGGATGGGAGGAATGGGGATGGGAGTTGATGTCATGGAAAGACCCTCGTAGGAAACGAGGATGCCAGCCAGACACTGACCAAGACACCTTGGAACTGGGAGAACTGGAAGGAGACAGCCTCCTTATTCCTCCCTTTATGCCTTACCCTGCCAGGAAACTACTAGGTGGACAGTGGGACATAAACTGGAATGGAGACCATTGTGAGTGCATGCCAGGGTCAGGCAGGGGTGAGCCTAAGAAACTTGGCTTGCTGAAGTTTTGTTTGGTGGGATGGAAAGAGCTATGCACACAGGAATGTGACTACTCTATCTGGCTCTCAGTCTATCCATCCACAGAATGGGGACCATGCTGAGGACAGCAGAAAAGACCTAATCTCAGTCCAAAGCAGAGTTGGGTATAGGAAAAGCTAATTTTCCTCATCTCCTGGCAGGGAAAGAGAAAGATCATCTAGGCCTACCAGCTAAAAGTGGAGAGAGGCATAAGAAAGAATTCAAAGATGCCATTATTTGGAAGCCCCTGTATTGACCTTTGGTTCTTGGCACTGGCCCAGGGGGCATAGATGGACACACATCACATACACAGAAACACAAAGCTTGAAAAAGCATCTCTCAGCTGACACCACCCTTTATAATACCCCAGAGCACATTGGCCCAGCCAGCTTTGGCCCTCACATAACCAGCAGCATCAGCCACTAAGATGGGAAGACAGGGAGGGTCAGGGAATCATGGAGGAATGTGAAAGCTAACATGCGTGAACCACATAAGCATCTATCTTGCACCACACAGCTATCCGTTCATAGCCAGCACTACGTACCACATCAACCACTGGACATACAACCTCAGTGTCCACAGTGAGACTCTTTATTCGGTGACCACTAATAAAGAAAGGCATAGGTTGTGGTTTCGAGCCAACCCCATCGTGGCACCATCCCTGGTGACAGCCAGCACGTACGTCACACTGTTACAGAGAATCAGCCCTTGGCCCTCACAACAACCCTGTGAGGTAGGCTTGCCAGTGACACACACACCTGAGAGAGAAGACTATGGGTCAGAGGGACAGAGGAACAGTTGAATGGCCCTGCCAGATCACATCTGGGTGAGTCCTAAAAGAAACAAGACTCTCAGCGGAAAGCAAGAGTTCCTTTACTTGGCATGAAAGATCACAAGGCACTGTACAGAAGCCCACTACAACAGTGGCTGGTTAACAGCTTAGGGAAGAGAGAAATACAGCAAAATGGTTTGATATGGGTTCAGATACATTCTCCATCACTGTATGACCACTGTATGAGACCAAAGGCATCTGTCCCTGGGACTTGTTACAATTGTTAGCTCTCCATCTATCTACACAAATACAACAGAAGGTAACTGAAACCCTACCCCTGGTCAGGCACTGTGGTAGGCACCAGATCTGAGGCAGTTTGGCCTGATGCTGTCAGTGGGAGGGAGGATATTGGGAAAGGGGAATTGCTGCCAGACCATGCTAAGTACTCCCCTGGGAAGAGCCTTTTGGGAAGGGATATAACTAGGTGCCTTACACAGGTCTGAGTCAGGGGCTTGGTCTTCAGTCAGAAAGCTAAAGGCATCCCCAACCTCTCCTAGAGGTAGGTGTGGATGTGTCCAAGGAGGGGTAGAGGGCAGAGGTACTACCTAAAATAGCCCCCCAACCCAAGGTGCGAAAGGCCCTACTTTATATGAAAATACACAGCTTTAACAAACATAAACTATTCCCCATTATACCTGAGCAAGGCTGCCCCACCCCAGGGCTAGGGTTCCCAATGCTCTGGCACACCCCCAGGGACACATACACTACCTTCTAGAGTTACAATCAGAAGTGTCCAGTTATACCAATCCTCACAACATCCTGAGAGGTGGGTGCCATGGTCCCTACCACAAAAGACAGACTCAAGCACTCAGATAAGATCGATCACACAATTTGTCCAGATCCAGGACCTGGCCTTGCCAATCCTACTACTTCCAGTAGGAGGAGAACTCAGGAGAGACCTGTGCCTCTTCCCCTTCACAGCAGAAAGCTGGAGGGAGGCCTCACCTAGCCTGGGACCCCCTCAAATACAGAGGGCTGAGCTCGGGGTTTGCAAGGTGCCATGTGTCTTTCTCGCCTGGGTCTGCGAATGGATTACTCAGAAAGGACACTGGGACATGATCCCTGTCACCTGTACAAGCAACCATCTCCTGTAATTTTCTCTAAAAAGGAGGCAAGCATTAGCTGAGCTCCAAAGTGGCCAGAATGACTCTCAGATCATCCTTGTAGGAAGAACAGGGTGTCTCGCAGCCTTGAAAGCCTGCTCGCAGCCAGAGGCAGCTGCTTAATGCTTAGTCCACTCCCCATTTGGGCCTCTTAAGGATATGGGCTATGATTTCTGAGCACCCAGGGAACACAGTTTGCTGATTACTAATCAACCTAGTTTTGTGAGGAACAAAATTGGAGTGAGCAATCAAGCTTGCAATAGAACTCAGACCCGAAGTTTGAATTGAAATCAGGGAATCCTCTTATTGGCCACACAAACACAGCTTCTTTACAAATGTCCCCATCTTTTCTTTCAAAGGGCAGTAGTGCAATGAGTTCTTGTGAGCCGGCTCTAGTATAGCACTAGCTAATTTTTTTAAAAATGCTTGCTGACTATAAGAGAATGAATGAAGGTGTAAAAGAATGGGCACATGAGTTACAACCACTGCCATCTGGTGGAGGAAGCTGCAAGGCTGATGGCGGAAGCTCATGACAGGGACCATGCACCAGGCAGGGTAAAGCCTGGGGAGGCAGCTCTGCTTATGGTGGGAGGGGCTGGCTCCAGGGAACTCTGGAAACCTGACCCTCCTGGATTACAGTAGAGAGATGTGAGGTGTGGGAAGCCTTATGGAGAAAAAGCTATGTTGATGGGTCCAGCTGGGACGTGCTCAGAGCCGTGACCTGGGAGGTGGAGGCTATGAAAGGGGACCTTGCTTCATGACCACAGCCC